GCTATACACTACTACCACATTTACACCACTACACTACTACACTACTAAAACTACAAAAAAAATAATAATAATAATAATAATAAAAATAATAATAAAATAAATTAATAAAATAATAAGAAAAAGAACCGGGAAAAAAAATTAAAAACAAGAACAGAGAAAACAAGAAGAACACAAAAACAAAAACAAAAACACAAAAACAAGAAAAAAAGCATCAAGAACATAAAGAACAAGAACTTAAAAAAAAGAAATAAAGAACAAGAAAAAAACATCAGAACATCAAGAACAAGAACATAAGAAAAAAGCATCAAAACAAGAACAAAGCTTAAAAACATCAAGAACAAAAACATTAAAAAAGAGCATCAAGAACAAGAAAAAAAGCATCAAAAACATCAAAAAAAGAATTTAAGACAAAGCATCAAGAACAAGAACAAAAGCATCAAGAACGTCAAAACAAAAACTTTAAAGAAAAAAGCATCAAGAACAAGAAAAAAAGCTCAAGAACATCAAGAACAAGAGCACCCGAGAAAAAGAAAAAAAGCTCAAAAAGAACATCAAGAACAAAACATCAAGAACAAAAACACAAAAACAAGAATAAGAGCAAGAACATCAAAACAAGAATAAAGCATCAAAACACCAACAACAACAAGCAGAATTATACAAGACAACAGACGGGGGCGGTGATCAGAAAAAGGGAAAGTTAAACATGGAAAAACAAGTAAACACTTTTAATCATTGTAAAAAAATTGTAAACGTGTAAAACGTTTTTTTTTTTTTTTCCCGTTTCTTTAGTTTTCTTCATTATTTATTAACGTTCTGAAAAAAAAAATCGGTGATATGGATAAAGAAAAAGGCGAGGGATGAGGGGGAATAGAGGTAGAGGGAAAAATGGAGTGATGGGGAGGTGAGTGGGTGAAGGGAGAAAATAAAACACAAGAAAACTTAAAATTAGTTAACGCAGAAATAAAATAATAATTAAATCAGGATCCGGGGGGGTTTTAACGAAAGGCGAGGACTTTTTAAAAACCCACTTGGCAGTCGGTTACTGAGTTTTTTGTGAGTAAAAAAACAACGTTGCGCTAAACACACTCACGGGGTTACTGACCAATCGCATTACGTACTTTTCTTGTGTAGATTCAAAGTTCCGCTGCGGGTCACCATCTGACAACACCCCGTCGGAAACCTTTCCGTTTCTGACAAACCTTACCAACCTAACCTAACCTAACCTAACCAAACCTCCCAAACCTACCTAACCTCCTAACTTAAACCCTAACCTAACCTAAGCAACAACCCTAACCAAACCTAACCTAACCAAACCCAAACCAAACTTAACCTAACCAACCTAAGCTAAGCAACCAAACCCAACCAACCAACCTAACCAAACCCTAACCTAACCTAACTTAACCTAACCAAAACCAAACCAACCAAACCTAACCCTTTTTTAAATCTCGGTCTTCACCGTCGCACACGCGCAATTTTATTCTTCTTAATCTTTTTAAAATTAAAACAATCCTCAGTTTTTGTCCCATGTTTTATTGTAGTTTCTGATTTTATGTTTTTATGTTGCGGGAATGTTTATGTTTTTTAATGCACTTTAATAATGTTTCTTAATAAAGGCCGGGAATTTTTTCTGTTGTAATTATTCACCTATATATATATATAATAATTATATATATATATATATATATAAATATATTATATATATATATATATATATATATATATATAAATATTAAAAATATAAAATATATAAATATATAAATTTATAATTATATATATTATAATATATATTATATATAATATATATATATAAATATTATATAAAATATATATATAAAAAATTATATATATATATAATATATATATATATATATATAATATTATAATTTATTTTTATCAAAACGGCCGTTTCCCCCCAAAGGGCAGGGGGGGTTGAAAAAAAAAAATTTTTCACCATCATTCACTCCGTCCTGTCTTGCCAAAGGGTCTTTTACACACAGTTTTTAAACTGCAACATTAACCCCCCCTCCTTCAGAGTGCAGACACTGTACTTCCCATCTCCAGGCTCAAGTCCGGCCTGCCGGGTTTCCCTAAACCCCCTTCACAAATGTTACTTTGCTCACACCCAACAGCACGTCAAATTAAAAACCTTTCGTCCCTTTCACTCCTATCAAACACGCTCACGCATGCCTGCGGAAGTCCAAGCCCCCCGCACACAAAACCCCTTTACCCCCCTCTCCCAACCTTCCTTGGCCGACCCCTACCCCTCCTTTTCCCTTTCCCCTACAGACTATACACCTGATACAAAAGTTTTGGTAATCCCCACCTCTCCTAACTTCCAAACACGAAATTCTCTGCATTAATTTACACCCCACCTGCCCTCAACATGACATCTCCACTGCCTCCACCTTTTCCCCCGCTGCAACATTCATCACCCATGCCTTCACACCCAATAAACGTTGGGAAAACTATACTCTCAACATTCCCCTCTTTTTTCCTCCAAGGACAAAGTTCTTTGTCTCCACAGACCCTAAGGGCACCACTCACCCTTTTCCCCTCATCAATTTTATGATTCACCTCATCCTTCATAGACCCATCCCCTGACACTCCCCCCAAATACTGAATACATTTACCTCCTCCCAAACCCCTCCCTCCAACGATATCCCTCTTTTATCACCCAATATTTTTGGTTATCCCCTCATAAACCCTTTCTCTTTCCTTATTCACTTTCAAATTTTTTTTCTTTTGCACACCCTACCAAAATTTATCCACCAATCTCTGCAACTTCTCTTTGAATCTCCCAAGAGCACATGTCATCAGCAAAAGCAACGTGACACCTCCCACTTTATTGTGATTCTTATCTTTTTAACTCCTGCCTCTTGCCAAGACCCTCGCATTTACTTCCCCTTACAACCCCATCTAAAAATATATTAAACAACCATGGTGACACCACATCCTTGTCAAGGCCCCACTTTTTACTGGAAATATTTCCCTCTTTCCTACATAAATCAACTTAGCCCCACATCCTCGTAAAAACTCTTTACTGTTTCAGTAACCTACCTCCTACACCATACACTTGCAACATCTGCCACATTTCCCCCCATCCCCCTGTCATAAAGCCTTTTCCAAATCCATAAATGCCCAAAAACCCCCTTTACCTTTCCTAAATCGTTCACTTTAGTTTCACTGTAAACCCTGGGCCACAACCCCCTCCTTTCCTAAAGCCTCCTTGTTCATCTACAAAATATTACATGTTAATAAAGTGTATATAATATATTATTAAATTATATATAAATATATATAAAATATATAAAAAATAAACTTTTAAAAAAATATATATATAAATAAGGGAAACGAAAAAATTAACCATAATTATAAATTTTTTCTTTCTGCTTTTATTATTATTATTATTTTTTATTATTAATTATTTTATTATTATTTTTATTAATTTTTATTATTATTATTATTTTATTATTACTATTATTGTTGTTGTTTTTTTGTTATTATTATTTTTTATTAATTTATTATTATTATAATTTATTATTTTTGTTTTTAAAAAACTTTTAATTAATAAAGGAACCATTTACTATTAATTAAAAAAAACTAATACAAACATATAAAAAATATCCATTTGAGGAGGAGGGAAAAGGGGAGATTTCCTAGGAAGGGTGAAAGGACGGGATGAAGGAAGTTTTGAGGTTCAGGGCTTTAGCATCGAGCAAGGGAACAAAAAGGGGCTAAATCTGAGTAATGTAAACAAGAGGTCTGGGGGATTTGTTTTGCTGTGAGTGTAACAAGGGAGCCCTTCTGGGCGAAAAGGAAGGGCGTAGGGAAAACCCTTACCCCACTTGGCCGGAGGGGGAATACAGTTTTCCCGCCCCTAAGGATGGTAGGGAACTGCAGCTCGGAAGGCATTTGATTGTGAGTCTGCGCATTTTTTGGAAACAGGATTGCACGAAAGATGGTGAATTTTTTCTTTAGTTTTTTTGGGGGGGGGGAATCCTTTTAGCTCTCGGGGGACGCCAATTGATAAAGTAAAAATTGAAAATATAAACATTTTTTAAAAGTGTTTATTTTATTATTATTATTATTATTTTATTATTATTTTTAATTATTTTAAAGTAGTTAGTAGTAGTAGTAGTAGTAAATATTTTGTTTCAAAATAAAAGTTAAAATTTAATCAAAATTATATAAATTTTTATTATTTTGAGAATTTTTATTTTTATTATTTTTATTAATTTTTATATTATTATTATTTTTATTATATTATTATTATTAATTTTTAAAAATAAAAATTTAAAAAATTTTAAAATTTTAAAATATATAATTTTTATACTTTTGTTAAAGTTTATCTTTTATTTAATTTAATAATCGATTACTTTATTTCCTCAAAAAAATTCCCCCACTGCTTTTGTTCCTTATTTTTAAAATTTTTATAAACAGATTTTACAAGAATTTCATTTGAACTTCTTAATTTATACATATATATTTATACATATATATTCACACGCACACAAACACACACACACACATACACACACACACACACACACACACACACACACACACACACACACACACACACACACACACACACACACACACATACACATATAAGCTGTAATAATATGTTATGGGTTTGGCTGTGACCAACTTGCATGCCAAGCTCTGGACGACTCTTACTGATTTACCGCTCCTTGAGATGCCACACAGGGTGCTGTTGCTGTAATGGTTGTCTATGATATATATATATATATATATTTTACGAAATTCCAATAATTTCGATACCGTGTTGATTTATATAACCTCACTGATGTTTAGAAAATATAGAATTTTGGAGAGAGAAAAAAATTCATGAGGTTAAGAATAGAAGTGTTTATGTAAGATAAGATTTTTAATAATGTTTATAATATACAAAGTTATATATACACAAGGCTATATACACACTCTTCTGTACAATATATATGTATATATATACACTGATGAGTGATTGTGAGCACCTGAGACCAGGAATGTAGATAGTAGGATGCCATGGGCGGCAGTGGGCGGTATACTCAAGCCATCCCAACGCCCATCACCGCGACATGGAAGGCGGCGGTAGTGAGGTGGGCGGCAGGTGTGGGTGGAGAGTGCCAGGCAGCGGACAACCAAGGCTCTGGTGTAGAAACGGTGCTACTAATAGACGCGAGAATGGCTCTGGGTTGAGGACGGCTAGGGGCAGCGATGGCACTGGACGGCACGTGGGCGGTGAGGTGGGCGGCGAAGTGGGCGGCGGCGGTGGTGACTTATCCCTACCCATGATGGCATCGATGGTAAAGGCAGGGCGTGGGGCAGGGCGGGTCAGGGGCGGCGAGGGCGGCGTGGCAACCACCGGTTTGACGGGCGTGGGGGCCAGCACGCCGCCCATGGTGGGCGTAGGGCAGCTCGCAGTTTGAGAAATGGGCGCGAGGCTGCCCCGCAGGTGCCTGAGAAAGTCCGCCTGTTGCGTGAGGGCGTGATGGTGTTGGTGCAGGTGGGCGTGGGTGGGCGGCAGATATGGATGGTGAGCATAGGGCACTGGGCGGTGTAACATAGTCGGGTGCGGCCCCAGCAGCGCAGCCGCCGCCGCCTGTTGCTGCTGCTGTTGGTGCTGCTGCTGCAGCTGGTGCTGGTGCTGGTGCAGCTGGTACGGGTCTATCATACCCGTAGCCAGCAGGGAGAACACGTGCGGGTCGTTGAGGAAGTCCGGGTGTTGTCGCTTGTACCGTTTGCGGCGCCGCAGGAAGGAGCCGTTATCGAACATATCTATGGCACCCGGGTCTAGGGTCCAGTAGTTGCCCTTGCCGGGGTTGCCAGGCTCTCGTGGCACCTTGACGAAACAGTCATTGAGTGACAGGTTGTGACGGATGGAGTTCTGCCAGGCGGGGAACTTGGCCTTGTAATAGGGGAACCTGTTCATGATAAACTCACAGATCTCGCTCAGCGTCACACGTTTCTTCGGCGCCTGAACGATGGACATGGTGATGAGAGCGATGTAGGAGTACGGCGGCTTCACCGGACCGCCAGATTTCTTGTCGCTGCCGGCTTCCGTCTGGTCCTCGGAGGCCTCCGGGCGGGGGTCCTCGTCCTCGCAGGGGTCGTCCTCGTTGTAGTGGGCAGGGGGAGCCTCCACCCCAGGCGACAGGCACTCTGCGTCAGACATGTCCGCCTCACACACTGGCATGATCCTTCGGCACCGCTAGCGCCCTACGCACTACCACCAGCACCACCGTCCCGGTAACCTTGCGCACACACACACACAAACACACCCGCGTCCTCTCTCAAAACTACGGCAAAGTTGGCTAGAAGACGCGGTGCTCTCCACTCAGGAGCTAGCTGATAAATAATGATGACAAATGTAAGGACGAGACCATTTTTACAAGCCTCCACGCTTGCCTCCCTCCCCGGCCCGCGGCAAAGAGCCAATCACAGCAAAGAATGCGCCCAGGAAACCCCACCCCTCGAGCCCCCCGGCCAACCAGAATCCGCGCGCTGCCTCCAAACCACGCCCAGGTCCTCCGACCCACTCATCCTTGCGGACGACCACCGAACTCCCTCCCATTGCGTCCCGTTGGGCGGAGAGTGCGGTGAGTGGCGGAGATGATTAGATTTGGCCCCATCTGTTGTTTGCAGACAGAGCGACGCCATTTATCCATGAATTATTTGGTGGCGAAAATGGAGCAAATCACTTTGAGGGTTGAATAAAACCATTATCCTCGGGAGACCTAAAGTGCCCAGACACAAAGACTCGCGCCATTTTACACAAAGCGGAGACCAGGCGAGCCCCGCGTGGTCTCCAAAGCCTCCAGAACTCTCTCAATGAACGCTGTAAATGAACACTGCAGAACGCTGTAGTGAACATATTGAACACTAATGGACAACACTGAAGGCTGTACGTAGTGAAGAATACTGAACACTGTACTGAATAGCGGATTCTGTAATGAACACTGATGAATACTGTAACAGACGCTACTGAACGCTGCAGTGAACATACTGAACACTAATGAACGCTGAACGCTGTAGTGAACACTACTGAATACTGAAATGAAGATTAATGAAGACTGTAAAGAACATTACAGAGCGCTGTATTGAACACTTAACGCTGTAACAAACTAATGAACACTGCAATGAGCACTACTGAACACTAATGAACATTGTAAGGAACACTACAGAACAATATAAATGAACAGTGAACTCTGTACCAAACTACTGAACACTAATTAACATTGTAACGAACACTACAGAGCAATGTAATGAACAGTGTGCGCTCTAACTACTGAACACTGCGAGGAGCAAAACTGAACACTGCAATGAACACTGCTGAACACAGTAATAAACACTACTGAACATTGTAATGAACACTACTGAACACTGCTGAACACTGTAGGGAACACTACTGAACACAGTAATGAACACTACTGAACACTGTAGTGAATACTACTGAGTATAGAAATGAACACTGTAATGAACATTACTGAACAATGC